CTCAACTATAAACAATTTAGATGAGGATATAGGGGAACTCATCAGATTTGCAGATAACACCAAGGTGGCAGGAATAGCCAACATCCCAGAAGACAGGTTCAAATTCTAAAAGGATCTTGACAGACTTGAACACTGGGCCTTATCAACAAAATGAAATTCAATACTGAGAAAAGTAAAGTTTTACACCTGGGCAGGAAAAGCCAAAGGTACAAGTACAGATTTTTTAAAAATGTTGAGTCAGATGGTAATAGACCCAACAGCAATAACTGCGAAAGGGATCTTGGAGTCCTAGTGGACAATCACTTAAATATGAGCCAGCACTGTGTTGCATCCCAGGCTCATTAACAGACGAACAGAATCAAGATCTCATGAAGCGTTAGTACCATTTTAAGACCACATTTGAAATATTGTATCCAGTTTTGGTCGCCACAACATAAAGAAGATATTGAGACTCTGGGAAGAGTGCAGAGAAGAGCAACAAAGATGATTAGGCGGTTGGAGGATAAAACATACAAAGAAATGTTACAGCAGCGGTGTCAAACTCAAAGCCTGCGGGCCAGATCTCCATTTCCATGGGGCCACCCTGGAAACAGCGAAGGAACAGCCTGTGGTGCCTCTGCCAGCCTGTGGCCCTCCCAAGCTCTGCTTTCATTGGCAGAGAGTTGTAGGAGGCCATCCCGGCCGAAAACAGAGCTTGCAAGTGGTGTGCTTGACCCTCCTGAGCTCAGTTTTCTCTGGCAGTGGGTTGCAGGAGGCTATCGCATCTGAAAATGAGCTCACGAGCCCGTCTTTGCTGGCAGAGCGTTCCGGCCACCACAGGCACCCCCAACATGAGTGATGTCAAGTTGGCCATGCCCATCCTGGCCATGCTCATCCTGGCGCACCAAGTTCAAACACAACCCTGATGTGGCCCTCAATGAAATCGAGTTTGACACCTCTGGGTTACAGGAATTGGGTATGTCTAGTGTAGTGGAAAGAAGGACTAGAGGAGACTTGATAGCAATGTTCCAATATTTGAAGGGCTGGCACAAAGAGGAGGGGGAGGGGAACAAACTAATTACTAAAGCATCAGACAAGAAACAATGAATGGAAACTAATCAAGAAGAGAAGCAGCCTAGTCCTAAGTAGAAACTTTCTGACAGTGAGAACAGTTAACCAGTGGAACAGCTTAAAGTTATGGATGCTCCATCACTGGAGGTTTTTAAGAAGAAATTGGACAGCTATTTGTCTGAAATATAGGGCAGGGCTCTGCAACCTGCAGCTCTGGAGCCACCTGCGGCTCTTTTGGCCCTCTGCTGTGGCTCTGTCGGCTGATCCCACCACTTGCTGGCCCTTCCCCTCCCCATCACTCCTCGCCTGGCCTGAGAAAGTAACGGTGATGACAGGGGATGGAGACTCACTCCATATTCCGGAGAAGGTGACGACTGGGTGAGAGGGAGTGAAGTCGAGTTGGCCACACCCACCTAGTCACACCGGTTGTTAAATTATTGGCTCCCAGTGTTTTCTTTTCTGTGGGAAACGGGTCCAAATGGCTCTTTGAGTGTTTAAGGTTGCAGACCCCTGGTATAGGGTCTCCTGCTTGTGCAGGGTATTGGACTAGAAGACCTCTAAGGTCCCTTCCAATTCTGTTATTTGGACTTAGGACCACAATCAAGTCCAAATTTCCATTGCCAAGCAAGGCAATTATTAAATGAGTTGCGCCCCATTATGCGACATTTTTGCCAGTTAAGCAAATCATTGTAATTGTTAAATAAATGATGCAGTTATTCTCAGTCATCCAAGTCATGGTTGTCCCAAAGATGCTTTTTCAAGAGGCAACTGGACTTTCTGGTTTTTCTTTGAAGACGTTTCACTTCTCATCCAAGAAGCTTCTTCAGCTCTGACAGGATGGCGGGGAATGGAAGGTTGGAAGGATTTATACTCAAGGAGTATAAATCCTTCCATTCCCCACCATCCAGCCAGAGCTGAAAACTTCTTGGATGAGAAGTGAAATGTGCAGGAAGTCCAGTTGCCTCTTGAAAAAAAAAAAAAGCACCTTTGGGAGAATCCGACTTTGCTTGTCAGAAGCCAGCTAGCAAGCTTACAAATGGTGATCATATACACGCCAGTTGCCTAGCCCTGAATTTTGCTGATCATGTCAGCATGGGGATGCTGCACTGGTAGGATGTGTGAAAACTGCTCATAAGTCACTTTTTTTCAGTGCTGTTGTAACTTTGAATGGTTACTAAACAAATGATTGTAGGTCGAGGTGTTTTTGAACTTAAACAGATCATTGAACAAATCAACCAGAATTCTCACTGGAGACACATCAGACTCAAAATTATCTTATTTCAGTCCTAATATTGCAAACCTAGCTCTCTGGAGAAGCTTATAACGGTGGAAAAGATAGCAGGAAAAAGAAGATTGCCTCTGTTATCGTTGCAAGAGGTGCACCATTGGTAGACCTGAAACATCACAATGGGAAGAAATCCTACTAATGAAAATCTATCTGTATGGTTACTAAGATTCTGTATTGAGTTGACGGCACATAATCAACAAAGCAATATGCAGTTTTTCTTTTTGACATTTGAGTCAGTTTTGATTCCTGGCAGTTTTGACTCCTGACTAGTCCCTGAAGTTTTCTTGTAAGTGATGTACCATTTCCTCCTTCCTAGTGAGTGACTGGCCCAAGGTTATTCCAGATGGAAGAGGAACTAGAACTCTCCAGGTTTCTAGCCAGATGCCTTAACCACTACACCCGTGATGGCAAACCTATGCCACGCATCCTGGAAGTGGCATGCAGAGCCATCTCTCCGGGCACGCCAGCTGTCGCCAGTTGCTCTTCCGGTTGGGGAGCTGCTGTTCCGGTTTCCGGCACCGAAAAGGTTAGCCACCACTGCACTACACCATACAGGCTCTTCGTGTGGATATTATTTTATGAGTACTGTATGTGTTTTTGCCTGATCTCGGAAGGTTGGGAATGACTCAGAGTCATTCATGACTGAAGTAGTTTATAAGCCCCCCAAAATCAAGAGATAAATTTAAAATAAACAAATCAGACTTTCTTTATAGTATTTCTTCAACCTGACAACTTCCAGATGGGATTTCCAATTCACTGAACTCCTCAGTTGACACAGCCATTGCTGTCCTCATCAATGAAAGTGCTACAGTAGGTAAAAATGGCTACAAGGCTGCTTGATGATGAACCAAATAAATGATAAGCCAGCCTCTTACCCTGATGTTGCCTGGATTTCATCTCCATCCGGTATAAAATGGAAAGGAAATTTAGAGATACACCAGCCAGTTTATTTTAAAAAGGAATAGCTGAAGGTAATGCACAGGGTAAAATTGACTTTATGCATCTAATGCAAACATGCGTATCTAAAATGTACCACTTTTATGATTAAAATTGAGCTCTGCTTGTTTATTAAAAGCATATGCCTGGCATTATCCTCTGTACTGTGATCTTATGATCCTGAATTGCTGAATTGTTCAAGATGATTGTCTCCCTTCAGATTTAATCCAGTCCTAGTCATATCAGTCATGTTAGAGATTATATGATATAATGCATCTTTTTTGGTGGATCCAAGTATAGAAATGGCAAACCTTTCTTTATGTAATGTGATATAGTAACATTTCTATTTCATTGGTCTTTTAAAATATATTATTTCAAGAGAAAATATGGTCTGTTCAGTGGTGGCCTAAGCACTGACAAATCTTGGTGCCCTCCTCCTGTGCAAACGAAGCCATATTAGTCTGCTTAATAGTTAATACACCACTGGGTTTGTTCAAAATCTTAGGATGGCAAAACTAGGCCAGCTTAGGAAACCAGCATTTTCCAACCAGGAACCATCCAGATGTCTTTCAAAGCATTCCAGCAGCCTAACTTCCAATACAACTGGAGGATTTACAAGGAAGAAGGACACCATTCAAGCCAACATAACTGCCTGACACTTCTGTTTTGCACAAAATAATATATCTTTATAATGTGATTTCTGGGTATCATTTTGAATCACCTATGATAAAAACAGGACAAGAATAATTGCTAAGCCAGAATTGCGTCTTTAGTATGTTGAACCTGATTGGAAATAGAATATGGTTTTCATTCTGCCAAAATGTCAAGTCACCTTGAATTGGGAAGTGTTCTCCCACATATATATTTATGCAATTTATGATTATCCGCTTCCAACATGGCCTTCCAAATCAATTATTGGTCCTGGATCTTCTCAACGTTGCTTTACACATTACCCCCGATATGCTTTTGGTCCGACAGGTATCCGATTGCAGAGCATGGTTAAAACATACACATATATACACACACACACTCCTCGCGATCAATACACGCTAAACTGCTGAGGGTAAGCAAAGAGAAAGCCGCAGTCCTGGAAGCGTAGAACGAGCTCGAAAGAAGAGATGCGTTAACACTTGAGTTGCAGCACCTGCTTGCTAGAACAAACAAGCAAACAAAAAAAACCATAATTGCTATTCCCAGGAGGGCTTGGATATGCCCCGCGGGACAACAACTAAAGCCAGCGTCAGTCCCGTTGTGGGCTGACGGGTAGAAGGAGGGGAGAGATGTTAAGGCAACACCACAACTGGTCTCTCTCCATGCCCTAGTCGCTGCACCAATTTTCCGCAGTTGAGGAAGAGGGGGGAATAGCAGTTCTGCCGTAGAAGCCCACTATCTCCCCCCCCCACCCAACCCTCCATAAAGGCCACACTCATAAGTCCTGGCAGCGCAGTGCTACAAAACACGAGAAGCCGGTCGGTCCTCTCTGCTAGGTGAGGCGAAAAGCAGCCAACCCAAAGCCACCGCAAGCTCCGAGCGAGGCGACGAGCCATGGAGACCACCGCCGCTGCCGCTGCTAAAAACACGCCACACGCCGGCGTTTCCCCCGCCGTTCCCGCTCTCCTTCCCTTGCCTTCGAAGCCAGCCCAGTCTTCCTTACGCGGCCACCCCTTCCCACGCGCTCAAGAAAGATACACAAAGGAGGCGGGCGGCGCCCTTGAGGCTCGCTTACCCTGACGCCACCGTCGTTGCGCAGGGTGGCTAGATTCTCCTCGAAGCGGGGAGGTTGGCCGCCTGGCGCTCGCCTCCTTTCGCGGCTGCCGCCCCGCCACAATCTCTCAACAATGAGAAGCCCGAGGCCGGCCCAGCAGCTGCACCCTGGCCTCGCTTCCTCCCCTGTGAGCGGCGGTGCCAAGCCGCCGGGGACAGCGGGCGCCGATTCCTCTCACGCGAGAGGCCTCCCGTCCCGGCAGGGTCTCGCTGAGGAAGAAGAGGCTCCCATTTCTTCCCCTGGCGGGGCGAAGGGGTGGCGCCGCGCGCGGGCTTATAGTTACACCGAGCTAACGGGGACGGGGTGGGGCAAAAGGCGGACACCTCAGACTGAGGAAAGGGATCCAACGGCGGACTCGGCAGCGGAGACAGTCGCATGTCCGCTTCTGCGTTGGGGTTTTTTTTGGTTTTGTTTTCATTCCCCTCTCAAGCCACAGGGGACCCAGGCTGGTGTTGGGGTTATTGTAATTGGTGGGAGCGAAACTTTGGGGTAACCGCTCAAATCACCCCCCCCAAAAAATACGGCGATCAGGTGGACGAGAGGAGAAGCAGCGGTGCCAAAGGAGGGGACCAGAGGCAGGGTGAGGTCAGCTCTTCAGTGTACACCAAAGAAGGCACCAAAAACATGGAAACCTTTATTGGAAGGAAATGGAGATGTCTGTGGAGATTCTCAGACATCCAGGTCATGGTTGTCCCAAAGGTGCTTTTTCAGGAGGCAACTGGACTTCCTTTTTTTTTTTTTTTTTTTTTAAAGGGAATGCATTTCCAGAAGAAAAATTGCAAACTAAAACGATGCAAATTACCAGCAAGGAATATAAATCCTTCCATTCCCCACTGTCCTGTCAGAGCTGAAGAAGCTTCTTGGATGAGAAGCGAAATGTCTTCAAAGAAAAACCAGAAAGTCCAGTTTCCTCTTGCAAAAGCACCTTTGGAAGGGAATGGAGAGTCGAAGACCTGTCTCTTGCTTAACTTGCTTGGGCTTAGCCAACTTTGAGGATGTTATCACCTCGAAGGCCCTTCCCACCTTTTTTTTTTAACTTTAATTATTCCGACCCTGTTTTAACAAAATATTTGCATAGTTTTTATGTACGTTTTTATTTTATGTACGTTTTAATTGTACACTGCTCAGAGTTAATATGTGGGTGAGATGTGGGTAGCCTCTAAATCTGATAATAGAAATAAAATAAATAAAAATAAATGTCTTGTAAGCCTGAAAGCACGTTTCTGTCCCTTGCCTTTACTTTCCAGAGAATGCTGAGATGCTTTCCATGTTCCTGTTCCTTCTGTGGGCTGAGATGTCTGTTATCTTGCCCTGGCTAAAGCTCCCAAGGTTATTCTCATGCTCCATTACATGGGCTCATCTCATTAACTTTTCCAGGCCAAGAAATATTCCTGTGAATCTATGCTGTTATATGTCTGTCTGTCTGTCTCTCTCCTCACACACACACACATGCTTATCTTGACTTTCCTCTATAAATTTGTGTATGCACCCTAATTTCCTTATATTAAAATCAGTATTAAAATATGAGAGTTGAGAACACAAATGACATGGAGATTAAAAGCAACAAAACACTTAACATGATATGGGTATAATTCATATGTGGAAAGCTTGGTGCAAAGTAGCTGAAGGCATACTTGGGAGCTATTTAACTTCCTTCTAGATCTGTGATGGCAAACTTATGGCACGCGTGCAGGAAGTAGCATGCAGAGCCATCTCTCCGGGCATGCCAGCCATTGCCTGTTGCTCTTCTGGGTTCTGGCACGCATCAGCCAGCTAGTCTTTGTGTGTGCATGCACACCAGAAACTGCAAGACCAGGTGGATATCATGCATGTGCATGCCGGAAACTGGAAGCTCAGCTTCCTAGTACATGCATGCAGGCTGGGAAACTGCTCTTCCAGTTTCCAGTGCTCCCACACATTCGCATGACAGGAAACTGCTCTTCCGGTTTCCAGTGTTCCCCTGTGTGCACACGCTCCCATTTCGGCACTTGGTGCCGAAAAGGTTCGCCACACTGTTCTGGATCATACAGGAACTAGAGAAAAACAGTTATTTACGAAAAAGCGAATGCACGGTGCCACACCTATATCCCTCCTATGACCAACTAGGCATCTTTTCCAACTTTTAGCCTTAGTTCAGATTAGTTCAAGTGGTCAGATTTGCCATGAATGGTATCGCTTAGTGGTTATGGAAGAATGGCTTGTTTGCCACTGGCAGCACCCATTTCAAAATCAAAAGCCAAAAGAACCCTTCCCTTCTTGTGCATCTTCTTTGTACTTTTTAAATTCCATTTTCAATTCATCCAGAAGTGGTGCCATTGTATAAATTTTTAAACAACCACCCGATTGATTTTAGTCATTCAAATATAATAACCAAAAATCCAAAGATCACCAAATAATCCAAATACACGCAAGCTGTTTCTTTTTTGCTCTTTTTTTCCCCACTTTCTCTTCCTGGGGTTACTATTTAGTTGCAAAGTTTCAGTTAAAATGTATCTTTTAGAAGTCTTGTTGAAGTTTTACTGTAGATTCTTTTTAATTCCAGGCAGTCTCCTCCCTCTTCCAGATCCTGCCCTTATTCTTTTTCTCTCCCTTCCTGCTTATGAAAAAGAAAGTTTTTAATGTCCAGAAATCTTTATTATCCCTTTGACATTTTGTTTTATTTTCAGCTTAATTGCCTATTGATGTCAAAGCAGATTTTTCTGATTTCTTACTTAAGTCTCTTAATTGTCAGTATAGGGAAGGAGAGAGAAGGGGAAAAAAGCGCCAAACCTTTCCCTTTTCACTTTCCTTCGCTGCTTCCGACTCTTCTTTGGGAGCGATGTTATTTTTTATAAGTTTAAATTCCAGGGTACCTTGGTTGTTGCTTTTACAATTTAACCCGGTCAGCCAAAACTTTCACTTCTTATCTTCCTCCTGCACATTCTTTTCCGGTCGAGTTCTTCTTTGTGGTGGCCATTTCTGACCACCGCTACAACCGCCTTCGGGAAAGAGAGTAATGGCCAGCTGAGGAGGAGAGATGCGGCTCTCCTCGACCCTGCTGGTGGTCTCCCCCCTCTTCACCACCTCTACGGGGTGGCTTAGCCCCGAAACCAGCCGGCTCGGGGTGCTCCAGCGGCGAGCCCAGACAGAAACCGTGCATGATCACGGATTCCTGCCTGTCGCCGAAGCCCTTCAAACCAGAAGTCATTGCAGTGAGAGAAGATTTTTTTACTTGTCACTTGCACATTTTAGATTAGGTAGCATTCCTACCTGCTATTTTTTGCAAAGAATTTCATTTCTCCTTATACCCTTTTCTTGCAATACCTGTTTCCCTGCCCATAAGAGTTTGTACTCAGAAAGACATTAAATGCTATCTGCTGCTGAGGTTTCCTCCCTGACTCTGTAATAAATGCACTTTCCCCACCCACTTCTTTTCTTTTTCACATTGGAGGAAACCATTCATCATCTTGGGCAGGGCAGGGAGTGGGGAAGAAGGGCAGAATATATGGGGTTTTTCCCCCTTGTTATCTGCAGTGCAGTTTTTCTGCTGGAAGACAGCCGATGTAAGAAAGTACTTATTTGCTGTTCCAATTGTTAGATCTTTGCTGAATTCTCAATCATGCACACACACCATTCACACCCATACAGCTAAGATACTGCCTACTAAAAGCAAAAAAATACCCCAAAGGGGCCAAAAAAGCCCCTTTGCAAAGAGCAAAGGTCTTACCCCTTACCCCTAGGTAAGGCTGGATTTTGCACTCTACAAAAGAGGAGGAAGAGGAGAAGGAGGAGAATTTGACATTTTTTTGTCACAGAACAAAGCCCAGCATGACCAAGAACGTTTGGTAAATGTTACCAATTTTGAATTATTATTTTTACAGTCAAAGTCCAACCCAGTTTGATCCATTTTTTTTCTTCCAAACTTCTTTAGAATATAATGGTATTTTTAAAAGTAACCTTACATACATTTCTAGGGTCTATAATCAATTAGTTAACTTAGGGATGGTAAAGCATATACTGGGTGCTACCAGTACATAGATTTAGCAAAAAGCAAGGTATAATAATTCTACTTTTGTGATGTGCAATCAGATCATTGCAGTTTTGCAATGCTACTAGAAAAATAAAGACTTGCCAAAGTTGAGCTTGACTGGTTATCATACAGAAACGCCCAACAGATTTTTTAATACCCTTTTTGAAATAAGTAGCGGCAAAGTGCAGAAAAGGAAAGAGCAGATAAATTAAGGAAACTTGGGTGAATTTACCAACACCATTCATTGCATCTCTCCAACCTTTTCCGCCTTTGCAATCCATTGCTGTTTCTCCCAACTCCATGCATTGCCCCTTTTCTTCAAGCTTCTCACCTCTTTTTGAAGAACTTATCAGCTCCATCCAACCACAGGTTTCTCACCCTTCCTCTCTTCTTACTCAAACCAGTTACTCTTGCTTCAAATCCTTGTTTTGTAATTCAGTTCTCCTCCTCTATTTGAGTTCAAATATTGACTTTATTTAAATCCATAGACCTTCTGTTATTCAATGATTGATACAAATGATTCTCAAATGATAGCTTGTTATTTCATAGCTTCGCACCAGGTGGTGATGTTTAACTTTTCTGCACTCTAAATAATCCCACTTCAATGAGGATTTTTTTTGGGGGGGGGGGGGGCAGACTATTCACTTTTGCGTTCAAATTAATACTCACCAAACACCAATCCCATTCATTTGTGGGTTTCTGACAGCTTATTTTTTTTGTACCTTCTCATCTCCTTCCATCTACATTTTCATGTCACCATACATGCATGTGTGTGTACTGCATATATGTGTTTGTATGTATACACACACATCCATATATACATACACACACAAACACACACACACATATATATATGTATGTATGTATATGTACACACACACACACACAATTTGATGTACCAATATAAAAAAGGATGCACTTCGCACCTATATCTCCAAAGAAGAGTAACTCCACTGTATTTTAGACTAGTTATTCCACACATTTGTAGTAAGTGGAACTACTATCAGTTGAGTCGTGACAATGTATATTATTATTATATGCAAGTTTGCAGTGGTACTCCTGTTATACAATGTAACTAAATCATGTTCTGTTATGCTAATGCTATATTATAGTTGCATCGAAACAAGTCCTGAGATAGTTTGATGCATATATCACAGATTCTGTGTTTTATAAACTGTAAATATCATTAGATGTGGTTTTTTTAATTTTGAAAACAAGATGAGTGGCTATGTAGTGGCACAGATAAGAGTTGTGGT